GGCAACCTAAAGGAGATATGCAAGAGTTAATGGCAGTTTATTTGTAGCTCTGCCTTTTCTAGCACAAGAGCACAATCTCCCACCATTCTGGTACGGTGGCTCCTGGTGTTTATGTAAAGGCATCGTATTCTGTAGCTTGAAAATAATGCATCTACAAAGTCATGCTCCATGTGAGAGTAATTCATTCTAGAATGTGTTGATTATTATGATTAATGGTAAGGCCCTGGCGTTTTGTAGAGTAATGTTAATACAGAAACATTGGGGTAGCACCTTGTGTGATTTTTCAAGGTGGTGCCCTTGTTTTTTAATGCATCCTGTGTCCAGCCACTGCATGATGCCAGCATTGGTGACAGTGCCACTTTGTCACATGGGAAAGATGGTCTCAGACTCAATAAGGAAGCACTTTATCAGAGGGAATAAAAAATGGAAATGAGCCACTACCTGTGGGCTAAGATTAAATTAGCTTCGAGAATTGAGGAACAGCAGCTTCTCTTGCTATGCTTTCTAATGCAGCATTTGTGAGCCTTCCCATCTCGAGCTGTATGCATTCAACAAATATTTGGTTCCTACGATATGCAATGCATTAAGTGCTTATGCTGATTATTTTAAAGTAGACGAAGAGGAATGCACTTCTGTGTCTTCAAAAAGCCGAGGAAACGAGCTGACTTGGGCACAGAATTATCTGTAATAGGAGGAAGCAGTGGTATGTGCTGTTGGAGAAGTAGAGATAAAATGTGCCACTGTTTCAGAGGAGGGGGAAATTGCTGTTGTAACTGAGAAACCAGGAGGTTTTTCATGAAGGAAATGGAAGTGGAGCAGAACCTTGAGGAGTGGTTAGGATTTGAACATATGGAACCAGGTTGAAGTAGTTCCAGAGAGAGAATGACACAAGCCAGCAACAGGAGACAGAAATTCTGGGATATGTATTGCAAAAAGGAGTCTGGCTTGAATTGCAGGATCCCTGAAGGGGGGTAGTGGGTAGAAATATGTTGGATCACAGTAAAGTGAGACTAAAGATTTGGGGCTTTACTCTATAGGCATGAGGAAGATTGTGAGGTTTTATATTTATAGGAATACCTATTCATAATAGTACATCAAAACAATTCATCTGGAGGCTGTGCATCCATTGGATTGAAGAAGGCAGTAACCTGGGCTTCAGAGAATGGACGAACGTCACTGTTGGAGTCCTTGAGAATGCATTAAGAGGAAGAACTGCCACTATGGCTCTCGGAGTGGTCATTGGAAAATGGGTGGCAGAAATGCCCAGAACACTCTAGGGAGTAAATGTTGATAGCTCATTGAGCATAAGGGAAAGGGAGATGGAGAGGAGTCAAAGACTTTGATGTTTTAAGAGAGAAAGGGGAAAGGGACCGGGGGAAGAGATTGGGCTTGATTGATAAGACAAGGAGTCCAGTTTGAGTGATCTTGAATTGGAAATGCGGACCAGAGTCAAAGACTAAGATGATCCCAAAACAATTTGCAATGCACATAAGGACTGAAGACAAAAAGAAATCCAGAGCTAGAATTTGATTTACTAGGGAATACTATGAACAGGGATAATAGTTGAGGTATCTTTGTTTTGAAAGCAATTCACCAGCAGTCCCAAGAAGAACATTACACAGAAGAGAAGAGGGCCAGAAAGAGATCCCTGGAGAACACTCCCCTCCCCCCCGCCCCGCCCTGCTTAGAATGCAGAAGAAGGGAAGCTTCCCTTCTCCCCAGAAAAAAAATCCTCAGAAGGAGCAGTCAGAGGCAGGGGAGGTGAAGGGGCCCGGGGGTGGGGGGGTGTTAGGGGTGGGGTAAATAAGATAAAAAAGGCTGGGCCAGCCTGGCAGAAGACTTTTTTTTTTTCCCTCTTTTCCTGGCACACTGGAAATTTTGCCTTTAAGAGAAGGAGAGATCACTTAACTATAGATAAAATGTGTGTTTCCAGAACAGAGTTCTTTAAATCTTGACTAAAGAGTTTCCTGATATAACTCGCTCCCACTATTCAGAGCCATACTGCTTCTAATTTCCTAGCAGAGCATGTAAATTGTAGCCTGCTGCTTGCTGCCCTGGGGAGAACCCTCTCTCACAAACCTACGGGTGTTCTTTCCAGGAGTCTGCCGGGAGCCTGAAGATATACTAGTGGTTTTGACAGCTCTTTTCCCCAATAAGGAAACACAGCAGAACTGCAGGTCCACCAAACACTGCTTCTTTCTGCCTCTGGGCCATATGCCACAGACCAGGGGGTTCCTAACCTGAAGCCAGTAAATATCCTGGCCAGTGAAAGTAATGTTCTGTTAGCCACGTGCATGCATTTTCTGAAGAGTTTGTTTGCCCTTCTCCTGATTCTTATAAGAACCTCTTTTCTTAAACAGAGAAGAGCCACAATAATAGATTACATGTTCTTGTACAAAGCTGTGAGTTTCTTGAGGACGAAATTCCGTTTTTATACATTTTGGTATCTTCGTGGTACCTCTTTATTCTTGGCTGAATGAATGGCATTTAATTGTGCTACATTAGATGAGCCAACAGGAAGTATAAAACATCATCTTTGGCTCTAGAGTCTCTCCCTTAACTTAGCAAACATACAAACCTGGGAAACATATTCTCTAATGATAATGTTTTTTATTAGTATACTTGTAGCTTAAAATGAGTGCTTCCAACACACACTATTTCACTTACATCTTTGATAATTGTGTGGAGTAGAAATTGACATCTTCATTTCATGAAGGAGGAAGCTAAGACAGAGAAGGCTTGTGATTTGCCAAAGGTCATATGCCACATGTTAGCTTATTTATCTCATGGCATATTCGTTTGTAAATAAAAATGCTGATGAATATATTAGACTTGGCTTTGTTTTTCTAGAATGTTTGTTGGTTGGCAATAGGTTGGTTTTTGTTTTATAGGAATGCAATCTTTTTGTTAACCTTAAATTTGATAATTGTGTTAAAAGCAATGGTTTCCAAATAGCCATGATACTGAATGACGGATGGATACCACTCCCATGTAGTGACTTCAGCTTCATGGTCTTCTACTAGATAACATTAAACGAAAGTAATGAGGCCCAGCTTTGGGTCTTTGTAGGGTATGTCAGACAGCAGTATAGTATCATGAGTAAGATCATGGGCCCTTGAGTAGGACTTGGATTTCTGAGTTCTAGTAACCAGTGTTACATCCTGATACTGGGCATATCTTGGGGTCTCTTTCAATTTGGAAAGGTACCTGCTAAATTTCCTTCTGAATCTAGAGACTGAGAAAGTTGCCCTATTCTGCTTCTACCTTTTACTGGAATCCTCTGGAATACAGAAGGCGGGGCGGGGGTTTGCGGGATTCCATGGCAGCTTCCCAAGGACAGCCCCAGCCTGCAGGCTGGCGGGGCAGCTGTGTTCTGTGCCCCCGTGCTTCAGTCTCCGTGCCGCCTGCGCCACTGACGCCATTCTGCAGCAATGCACTTGATCCCCCACAGGCAACCATCCTCCCTCCCACAGCAGGGTTGTGAGAGTCCCTATTTACATAATTTACAGACAGACTGAGCCTTACCTTCCTAAACCAAGGAAAAAGGATCTAAACCTTAATACGAAAGCAGAGGGGTGATAGCAGTGCTCGGAGTTTCTCAGACCAAAAAAACAAAAAACAACAACAGCAGCAAAAAACTGCTCCTCCAAACTGAACCCTAAAATGTGCAGGATTTACAAACTAATAGGCAGTTCTCCGGAAGTTGAGATTAAAAACACTACAGGAGTGAGGAGGACATTCTGACTCAAACCCCTGTCAGAAACACCTTGCTCTTAAGTAAAATGTGTATGCCTTCCTTCTGTAAGGAAAGGGGACTGTGAACGCTCCATGCTCATTGAAATACAGCTTTCCAAATGTGTTTGCTCAGGATCTCTTTACATGTTGTTTTGAGGATAATTTTTTTTTTCCTTGAAGGTCAAGAACTAGTAAGCTACTTAATTGTTTGACTAGGCAGGTCAGCTTTTAGATGCCTGCAGTGACAGGGAGAATACAAGCAAGAAGGAAATTCTGTCCCAGCTGTGTGCTGGTCAGGGTGCGCTGTTTGTGGGGAGACAGGGCTTCTGGAATACTGGTGTGCCAGGAGGAAGAAATGTTAGCCAGAGATATCTGGGCACTGACACGTTCTCTTCAAAAGAGAAAATGGTTCAAGGACCAGATAAGTCTGAGAGTCATTGAAAAAGAAGCATCAGTATAAGCTGAAATGGTAAATCAGCCTGAGTTTAAAAGGTCAATATGGTCGAAGGCTCCTCCCTGCCCAGAGATGGCCACTGGGAGCAGCAGCCTCACAGGGAGCCACTCGGGAAGGGAAAAGCACACAAGAATGTGCTGAACCTGCTTCTTCTCTGGGTTACCACTTCCTGTGGGTTCTGCAGCTGGGGCTGATACACTGGGGCCGGTGGCAGGTGTGTGTCTGATCTTTTCCTGCCAACTAGCAACCCAGTTGCATGGTGCATTAATTTTTATAAATTAGAGTAAATGGGTAAACCAACATTTTCAAATGCCTGACTTCACTAGTTCCTCTTAAACCCTGTAAATATCTTTTGGTTTCCATTATAGTTCTCCTGGACGTGTGTAGTTTGATGTAAATTAGAGTAAATTGTGTCAAAATCATGACCAAAATATATATGGTGAAGATATAAAAAATTGATACAATAGCCTCACCAAACATGGTTTTTAATTATCCATTATATATGTAGCTATACATACTCTTAACCCCATGAAGGTGGGGACCAGGGCGACCCTGTTCCTGGAAATATCCTCAGAATTAGCAATGTAATTTGTTCATTTGACTATTAATTGCCTTTTTAAAAATAGTATCTCCCAACATATTCTTTAAAGGGACTTTTGTTAGGAGATATTAACACTGTAAATGTTTAGAAAATTGGTTTGCTTTACAACTTTGCCAAGAAATAATTCTTATTTTTATTTATTTATTTATTTATTTTTTGCCTTTCACTCCATTCTCAGTGATAATTAATATGGAAATTATTGTTTTCCAGGCTTGAGCTCTCCCAACATGGCTTTCCTTAGACTCTTCTCTTTGCTGATTCTACAAAGTCTGGCTTTAGGGGCCACTTTCCCTGATGAAACCATTGCTGAGTTGTCAGTGAATATGTATAACCATCTTCGAGCCACTGGGGAAGATGAAAATATTCTTTTCTCTCCATTGAGTGTTACCTTCGCTATAGGAATGATGGAACTTGGGGCCCAAGGGTCTACCCTGAAAGAAATCCGTCATTCAATGGGATATGATAGCCTGAAAAATGGTGAGTGTGCTTAGGTTTAATTTTTCAAGGTGGTTTGGCTTTAACTTTCTACTCAATTATGTTGTCTTTGGCCACAGGTAGCAATATTCACATAATGTGAGAAAGTGATCTCACTGAGATGGTATGGTTAGGAGAACCATCAGGAAACCCAAGAAAAGTAGTAATTCCTTGCTGCATCCTTAGCTGAGTTAATCTAAGGAAATTGTAGATTTTATTATTATTATTTTTATTTAAATAAACCTCACTGTGACAAATAAAAGCAAACATGGTTCTTACTGAGTTTCCAGTCTAGAGGGAGAGGCATGTGTAAATTAATTATCACATAAATGAAAAATTACAACCATGATAACTGCTAGAAGAAAAGCAACAAGATTCTCTAAGAATATCAGAAATTTTTGCTTAAAACCAATTGTATCTTCATTTTTAAAGTAGCATCCAAGAATTTTTTTGAAATGTTTTATTATTATGAAAATGTTATGTATTGGAGAAAGTTTTTAGCCAAAAGGTATTTTGTAATCATTTTGACATGATTTATGATTTCTATTTTAACATTTTTAATATGCATGAGAATCAACTCATTAAAAATTTAAGAACTCTGATTTCTAAGGGACTTTTCTAGTTATAAGACACAAAAAGTTCAGTGAAAGTAAAATTTCAAGGAATATTTTGATTTTTAAAATAGGTAATTAAGCTTAATCTTATTCCTTAATTATAGAATGAAGACCAATTTAATGAGAATAACCTAAGCACTTTGAAAGGAGACAACCAAAAAATCTCTATAATAGATTCTACCAAGACATCAGTTAAAATGAAAAATAATGTCCATTCAAAATATCAAAGTTAATTTGAAAATCTAGAAATGGCACAAATATTGGAGCCTCCTTGTCATGTTGCTATGGGGAATAAATACCGCTCTTCCCTTGGGCTCCTGTTTCATCTATCTCCCTTGCTGTGTTTTGGTGTTTCTCCACTCCCCGTGGTCATTCACTGTGTTTGTCCCACTAATAAACTTACTGTTTGTCATTTTGCAGGTGATGAATTTTCCTTCTTGAAGGATTTTTCTAACATGGTCACTGCTAAAGAGAGCCAGTATGTGATGAAAATTGCCAACTCCCTCTTTGTGCAAAATGGATTTCATGTCAATGAGGAATTTTTGCAAATGCTGAAAAAGTACTTTAAAGCAGAAGTAAATCATGTGGACTTCAGTCAAAATATAGCTGTGGCCAACCATATCAATAAGTGGGTGGAGAATAACACAAATAGTATGTCATTTAGTTCCTTTCTTTCTCTGGTAGCTTAGTTTTAACTCTCTTCTACTTCTAAAATTATTTGTCTCTTCACTCTGATTGAATTTCTTAATGTTAACATTTAGTCGAGTACCTAATAATTATTTTGTATAGATTATAGTCTTTTTAGAGGCATTGCGTATGAATAAACATTTTTGAAAGAATTTAAATCTTTTGGCATGTGAAGAATTTTGGCACTGTGATAAATCAGTCTGAAATCTGTCTCTCCAATCATTTGTTTTCCTCTGCATGGTAATCCTAACTACTGTATGGAATTTTGCTTGAGCTGACTTATTTAAGAAGTTAGATGCCAGTTAGAATGGACCTCTTAAAAATAAATTAAAAATAGAATATAAGAGAGAGATAAAAATCAGAGTTGAGCTTTTTTTTTTTTTTAAGATTTTATTTATTTATTCGAGAGAGAGAGCACAATCAGGGGGAGAGGCAAACACAGACTCCCCACTGAGCTGGAAGCCTGATATGGGGCTCCATCCCAAGACCTGGAGATCATGACCTGAGCTGAAGGCAGATGCCTAACCATCTTAACAACAATCTGGGCCACACCCAGGTGCCCCCAGACTTGGGCTTTTAAATGGCAGAACTTGATTGATAATCAAAAAAATGGTATAGGATTTCTTTAAAAAAGGAGTAGCCATTTTAATTCCAAATAAGTGGAGAATTAGAAAGAGATACATTTACTTTAAAAAATGTATTTCTAATCTTGGGGCACCTGGCTGGCTTGGTTGGTGGAACCTTTGACACTTGATCTTGGAGTTGTGAGTTTGAGCCCCACATTAGGTGTAAAAAAAAATTAAAAAATAAAATCTTTAAAAAATAATTAATAAAATTTGTTTTTAATCTAGTCTTTAAAAATGTATTTAAGCTTTCCCTAGGTGTCATATTTTACCATTTTATTTTCTAACTTTACCATCAAAATATTGAAACTAGAATTTTAAAAATGAGACCAAATGTCAAGCAGATTGCAGATGTTCACTAAATTAATTCATACTGTCAAAACTCCCCAAATAACGTCAATCTAATATATTTTATTTTGGAACAATAACAAAAATACCTGACCACATGCCCTATGTCCTCATCCCAAAAATTCTGAGGCACCTTTGTAAGCACCTAGAGAAGTACTATCATTAGTAAAATGAGAGAATACAAATTTTCATTCTTTTTTAACTATGACATTAAAATGTAGGATAAAAGAAACTTATGTTTGTATTCTAGCATTCAAAGAAGAAGTCAAGAATAATAATCCACTTTGAGCAGACAGAATGATTACAAGCTATTTCCAGAATCTTTTTAATATATTTAGTGGGACGCCTGGATGGCTCAGTTGGTTGAGCAGCTGCCTTCCACCTTGGATCATGATCCCGGGGTCTTGGGATAGAGTCCTGCTACGGGGCTCCCTGCTCAGTGGGGAGCCTGCTTCTCCTTCTTCCTGCTATTCCCCCTGCTTGTGCTCTCTCTCTCTCTCTTTCTCTCTGTCAAATGAATAGGTAAAATCTTTTAAAGTATTTTAAAAATAAACATTTTTTTGCTATCAACAAAGACCCAATATCTTTGAAAACAGATTTGTAAAGAGATATTTCAAATGATAGATAATATGCCATCATGAGTTCAATTGGCTTTCACTCATCTGTTTTCACCTAGTCAAATGTAATTGTTATATTTGGTGGAAAGATACCCAATATACATGGGGGGCATTTTTGAATTGAATGACATTTTAATCACGTATGTTGTTCAAGAATAAACCCGGTGATGATTACCGAGTGCTTACTCTGTGTTAAGAGTTGTACACACATTATCACAACTAGAAAGGGTAAAGCCTGGGATTCTGTTGTACATGGTTCTATCATTTCTGCAAGTGTCGAGATTCTATCAGTGTTATGTTAGGTGGATCTGTTTTAGACCTCCTTAATCTGTATTGTGTGTGTGTGTGCATGTGTGGATGTATATGTAACATTTTTCCTTTGAAAGCATGACACTTAATTTTTTTGTAAATTTGGTAATGGTACACATTTTTTTCTGGATTACTCTATCAGATGGTAGTTTGTCCCCTTTACCTTCAGATTTAATATGAATGTTCATCTATTCATTTTTCCTGAATAGGTCTGTTGAAGGATTTGGTATCCCCCAGGGATTTTGATGCCAGCACTCATTTGGCCCTCATCAATGCTGTCTATTTCAAGGGGAGCTGGAAGTCACAATTTAGACCTGAAAATACTAGAACCTTTTCCTTCACCAAAGATGATGAAAGCGAAGTCCAAATTCCAATGATGTATCAACAAGGGGAATTTTATTATGGTAAGACATTCTGGCTTTTCTTTCTCTCTTCCTGCAGTGTATTAATGAATTTTTTTTTTAAGATTTTGTTTATTTATTTATATGACAAACAGAGATCACAAGTAGGCAGAGAGGCAGGCAGAGAGAGAGAGGAGGAAGCAGGTTCCCTGCTGAGCAGAGAGCCCGATATGGGGCTCGATCCCAGGACCCTGGGATCATGACCTGAGCCGAAGGCAGAGGCTTTAACCCCCTGAGCCACCCAGGCGCCCCTATTAATGAATTTTTAAGAAAGAACATGAAATATTTATTATTCAAATAGCTTGTCAATCTCATTTGAGCTGCAATTCGATTTCCTTGGCTCCATTTTCAAAGGCCTCTAATTAGATCCTGAGTGAATATTACATGCATTGACAGTTTTCCAATAGACTTCTTTAAATTATGAAGTTGATTACACCTGCAGAGCGGCTTTATTCCCATGTGCCAATACCTGGCCTTGTAGAGAACGTTATGAGTTACTCCAGAAAGCCATTGGCTTTGGGGTGGTTGTCAGTGACCCATATGTTCCGCTTTGCCCTTGCTTTGGATTCCTTACCACTTTTTGAATTACAAGCATTTCTTTAAAACTTTGCTTTCAGACTGTGTATGTTTGGTCAGATGTCATTACTCATTCATAGTTTCATTTATTGAAGGTCTGTGATTTGTGATACAACTTAATATCCTCGGCATTGTTTTCAGAGCTATTTCATTGGACTTCTCAGAAGTTTAGGGTGTCAATCTTTCTTACACGCTGCAATGAACTGTATTCTTACACACTCAACTTGAGAACCAAAATGTTCAAAAGTCTAAAGGACCTAGATTAGTTATAGGAAAATGCTCATAACAGAAGCATTATATTTTCTTTTTGAAAATGGGGGAAATTTTAAGGTAGCAACAGGACCATTTGCTTTAAAGACTTCTTTATGTCTTTATGGAAGCCTGGTGAATTTAGCTAAGTTATTGGAATACAAAGCCCATTACTTAACCAACCTTTACTATCTAATATAGAGGTCTTAAGCACCACAAATACCCTAGATAACTACCTAGATAATGTAATAGATTTCATTTTGACTATGCTATCTTGGCCTCAAAACTTTTAGTTGTGGTAATAATAAAGTCCCAGGTACTACGTAGTCCATTTTTCCCTTCTTAGAAATCCAGTGGGATTTCTAATGTGAATGTGAACTACATCTAAGTTGGATCTAGGGCTTTATTTTTCTAACCAGGACTGATCATTGCTTCTAAAGATATTCTTTAACTAAATATTCATCTGAAGTATCTCATTTAAAAATAAAAAGTAAATCTAGAGAACATATTATGACAAGTATGATATAATCCTGGGGATTCTAAAATAAAATAAATACTTTGGGACTGAAGATTCACTTGATTTCAGGAGCTTTAAAAACAAAACAAAACAAAACAAAACCCCAAAAGCCTTTTTTCTCAGATACCTGGATACACACACACACACACACACTATTTTGGAAGAAAGTTAAAACAAATTAAACCTTTTATTTGAACTTGGATATGGGCCTTTTATCACCTTTCTTTTTGTTTTAGGAGAATTTAGTGATGGTTCCAATGAAGCTGGGGGTATCTATCAAGTCCTAGAAATACCCTATGAGGGAGAGGAGATAAGTATGATGCTGGTATTGTCCAGGCAGGAAGTTCCACTCGCCACTCTGGAGCCATTGGTCAAAGCACAACTGATTGAAGAATGGGCAAACTCTGTGAAGAAACAAAAAGTGGAAGTGTACCTGCCCAGGTAAGATGCTCCTGTGGGACTCCCTCCAACAGCATAGTAAGAGAGATTTCAATGTAGTTTCTGACTCAGGTCCGAATACCTTTGAATTTTAAGTCTCAGCTACTTTCTCCCCCTACTCCCCTTCTTCTTTCATCCCCTTCCCTTCCTCACCTTCCCTTCCTCCTCCTTTTTTTAAAGTAGTCTTTTGTACTCATGAGGTCCTGCCCAGAGACACAAGCTCCCTTATCGATTCACTCAATACTATTTCCCAAGACCTAGTTTCAGATCCTAGTCAATATTCTTAGCTTCATTTTAGAATGTTTCTCAGTAGATCGTCTCTGAATATCATTTGCATTGGCAGTCTTCTGTATTTCATTAATATTTAAAGTTGATTATAGCTGGAGAGAAAACAATCTCCCACATTGTTGGAAGAAGCGCAAGCAAGTTACTATGCTTGGTGCCAAGATGCAATCATAAATAAGAAGGAGAAAGATTAAAATTCTCCCTGTGGATTAAATAATAAAATCTATGCAGGGCCTAGATGTTCTTCTCAACCTGACCTCTGGCCACTCACCACAACAACACTTGGTAGCATGTTCTATCCATGTGCTTGTTGCTATGCTACATACAGATTGCATGCTTTTTCCTGCCTCTGGGTCTCTATGCATGTTTTTGCATTGGCCTAAAATGCTCTTCTCATGTTTCTTTGCCTGATACTGATATTGTGTATGTCTCTGTATATTTTTAAAGAAATTCTTTTTGATAAAATGAGAAATTCAGTATAGTGTTAACTCTTCCCTTATTAAATTCCATGAACTAAGTGCAACATGGCCAAATGCTTCAATTCTGTGAGAATGCGAAGTTATTTAGGATGATTTTAACAGAATTCTAAATGAATGCTTAGTAAGGATCACATATTATAATTCAAACATATTCACTAGAAATTGTGGCCTCCAGGTCCTGTCGACTGAGAAATGGAACATGGCAGCAGAAGAAAATTAAATTTTCATTTTCTAAGAGATACTCTTCAATTATGAAATAGTTTAGCTTGTTTGCTCATATTAATGCCTGATACTAAATGAGGCACAGTTAATTACCATGTATCCATTTCTCCAGAATTTCTATGAACTCTCCCTCTGCCTGGTGAATGCATAGAGAGAAAATAGCTACATAACATAATATAGCTACATAACATGAATCTGGTTTCCCTTTTTAAGAAATTGACTGTTTTCAAATACTTACGTGTAGATAATAATCAATAGGAAACAATCTACCCCTTCCATTTTACAGTATTAGAATCCACTAAATGTTCAATGAGGATAATGATGTTTATGACCTCATTTTAGCAGAGGTTAAAAAGTTTTAATAGCCATTTCCTAGGTTTACTCAAGTGTCTGTCTTAAAATGTTTGTATAGTTTTATTCACATGGAGATACTACTCTGAAATGGCAACTTTGCATTTCTGTAATTTTACCAATACTTGTCCTGCTCCACAGGTGCTTTTACTTTCTGTTATATTAGATTTCATGCATATAGGTTCTAAATGCCTTTCTTAAAAGGTATAGGGTATTTTGAGGGGGGAGAAGGGGGCAACTACTTTTGTATTTTTATTATTTTTCCCCTGAACAATAAGCCCTATAGGAATCAGATACTGAATTGAAATTGTATTTTTATCCAAAATACAAAACTCTATTCATGAGAGGGTAAAATTGCTATATGTATGTGATATCACAAATCCTGTGAAATACCAAAAGGTTAATACATAGTCATACATTTCTAAGATTTAATGGACATTACCAAATATTCTTCCAATATATTCATGGTAGCAAAAACAGTTTGCTAATATAGATTAAAAATATATATGTAAGATATCTAAAAAGGACTTTAGAATAATGCCTAACATCATATAATTATTATGTATTATCATTATTATTATTTATTTTCAGTATACCTTTTAAGTCCTAGTATTCACCTTGTGTTAACCTATGGGTAACTTTACATATACTTTTTTTCCAGTAAGATTTTTTAAAAACCTTATTCTCATGAACATTACCTTCTTCGTTATGTGAGGTACAAGAAGATGGTTCTAAAATGAAAATCAAATACCTTAATATTTGGAATGTAGGGGTACCTGGCTGTCGTATCTTTCCACTCTTGACTCTTGTAGTCTCAGATTTGTCATTTGGGATCAGGGTGCTATAAATCAATGGATATAAAGTGGTTTTCTATTTTGTAAGCAGAGACCATCCTTCTACTTGGAAAATGATTGTCTTAGAAATAAAGCACTTCAGTTTCATGTTTATAAAAGAAAACTAATACATAAGCCATCCGATACTGCTCTCTAACATAAGTGCTTTTCACTGGGCTTTTCTACAGAAGGTGTCTTGATTAGTTTCTTAATTGCTTACAAGTTGTATAAATCTCCTTATATGTAATATATATTTATTCTTTTCTAACACTTGCTCTCCACACCGGAGATGTGGAGATGCTTCTGCCCTCTACATACCTCTTCAACTTACTCAGATAGAAAGTTGCAAACGCATGATTACATTGTTAAAATAGGCATGCCTTTGGGTTTGAAAAAGCAAGGTTGTGGCTTTTTAAGTTTGGTGGGCGAAATGTAAAATCTACCTATGGTTTGTTTGTTTTTAAATAGTCATGGTTAGAATTGTAGTTATTAGAGGTGGGGCACTTTGCCGTCAGACAGGCCTTAGCTCATATGCTCATTCCACCACCTACTAGCTGTATGACTATGGCAAGTTGCTTGGCTTGACTAAATTTCAGTTTGTTCTTCCGAAGAATAGAGACAACAATACATCATCTCCTAGGATTCCGTGATGTTATCATAGGGATGATTAAATGAGATACCATATGTAAAAGGATTTGCACAGTGAGCCCTCAGGTATGGGAGATGATAATGATTATTAGTCTCTATAGTAAAGATTATTTAAGATTATTAAAGATTATTAGCCCTCAGTTATGGGAGGTGATAATGATTGTTAGTGCCTGTATTAAAGATTATTTAAGTTTATTAAAGATTATTAGTCTCTAATATATGAATATTAGTCTCTATTAAGAGGAAAGAGTTAGTAAATTGATGATACCTGTTTCTCAGTAGTTTGATAAGGAAACAAAGACAAGAGATGGATAAATAGAAATTGTTCACATGCCATCTTCAACTTTGAACAAACACTCCCATAGTCACCTAGATTTTTTTCCCTTCAACCTATGTATATTGTCCTATGCTAGATACTACAGATATTGAAATAAAAAAGACACTAGATTTGACTAATTTACAGCTAAAGCAGCAGAGATGAAACAGCTATTTAATCAAATTACTCCACCATTACTAAAATGCAAATATACAATACCTTAACACCTATAATAATGTGAATGTTATATGAACTGCAATATCGTAAATGCTGTCAACCCAATCTGCCCTTTATTACATGCCTCTTACATAAAGGCACCATCCTAAGACTTCTAGAAACCTTTGGGGCACCTGGTTGGCTCAGTTGATAGAACATGCAATTCTTGATCTTAGGGTTAGGAGTTCGCGCCCCATGTTGGACATAGAGATTACTTAAAAATAAAATCTTTTTTTTTTTTTTTAAGACTTCTAGAAACCTTATTCAATCCCCTCGACAATACTACGAGGCAGGTATTATCAATGTCAGCCAAATCCAAGGCTCAGAAACTAAGAAATTTGCCCAAATTCAGTCTGGCTAAATTACCATCCTCACCTGAAACAGCAAACCTCAGAAGTGTGAAACAAACCAGGTTACTCTTAAGAAGCACAAAGAATCCTCTCCTGATCTCTTCCTTCACTTTCCTATTTTAGGTGGATCAGAACTTACAGAATACGACCTGGGTCCGTGCCCCTGCTCTGCCATTTATTAGCCATCTGATCTTGGTCAAGTTATCTCATCTTTCTCCTCCTTGGTTTCTTCTTCTATTAACTGAGGATAATAATAATACTGACCTCCAAGGATTTTCGTGACATTTAAATTAACCTGTTAGAGTCTTGGAATAGTTTTTGGTAGATCAATTAATGAATAATAAATATAAAGCACACACACAAAACACCTTAATCAAGCCATTGAAGGTATTCTTTGAGACAGTCCACACTTCCCTACTCATCCCCTTTTCTACTTTCACAACAAACATCTTCTTTTTGTAGGAAACAAAAGAAACAATGCTAAGTCCAAGTTAAAGTGTAGGATATAGATAAAATTCAGGACTTGGTTTGATATGCTTGCTATACATTTATTTTTCTATTTATCATATTTTCCATAAACATGAACCTGCTAAAACTGTTTCCCCCTGACTATTCCTCTTGATGTCTGAGTCTTGTTTATAGCAACCATTCCCTTGTCATTCTTCTTAAAACCAGACATCAGAAATGATGCTAATGTGATGTTTTGTGACTGTCACAGACTTAGCTCTTATAAAGATACAGCCCATTGCCTAAAAACTTACATTTCGGATCTTTATTGAACAAAAAGCAACATCTTAGGAAAAAAAGGAAACATTTACTTCTAGTTATTCTCACTTTTTATAAGAAAATAATAACCTTTGCTTAAAAAATACTGCATTTGTGTGTTAAATGCAGCCATGTTTCACTCCATGTTTCACTCACCAAAGATGGGTGAGACAATTCATTGGTCTGGGAGAGACTCTTTAATATGACTAATCAGACTGTCTTTGGAAACCATTTTTAAAAATTAATATTCTGCTCATGACCACTGTACTTATTTTCATTTGAGTTTTAAGTAATGTTTTATTTCTTCTTACAAATGTGATGCACATTTATGTATAATTCATAAAGCCCATTAAAACAAAAAATATAAATTTGTTATTCTTTTGTTTAAAAAAGAATCTCTAATATAATTGTAAAAGTGCACAGTTTTTAAGATGTAATATTTAATTCACTTTTGTTGATTAACATCTTTTCTGTGATGCTACCAGGAGAACAGGCTTAGGTCCTGGAGGTTAATATAGCCAGGAAGACGCATATTGTTAACCTGATAGCTTTTATGTTTCCTTTCTGTGAGTGTATGGAGTTGAAATGTAAGATGTATCCATTATACAGCAATTAGATACAGCATTGGCTTTCCCTTTTCACAGGAAGCCGAGCAAGGCTACTAAGAGAATGAAATGCCTTGGGTAAATATTTGATTAGCCATTGACAGCTTAAAAAATCAAATGTATTACTAGGTCACACAATTTTGAAGGCTACTGAGTTACGAGTTTTATATTCTGGACCTCAAAACACTTACTCCATCCTATATATTACAGTTTTGTGTCCACATCAAATACTTTTCCTACTTAATAATCTAATACTATTCTGATACAATACTCTTTTTGCTGTCTCCTCTTTTTATGAGCGCAATCGAGTACTACTTGCAGTCAGACGCCACCCAGTTTTAGCATAATTTACCATTAAAATCAACATATCCAACATTTTTATTCTTGTCCAGGTTACAGGATACTGTAACTAAATACTTTAAAAATGCTGTAACTAAATGCATTTCCCCCTATGTGTCCTCCAGGTTCACCGTGGAACAGGAAATTGATTTAAAAGATGTTTTGAAGGCTCTTGGAATAACTGAAGTTTTCATCAAAAATGCAAATTTGACAGCTTTGTCTGGTAGGAGATAAACACTAATTTTTAAAAAATGTTATTATTTCATGAAAGACTTTAAAAAATGATGATGCTGTCAGCACCTTAAAGATTTAAGAGTCACAATTGTTCAGGGGGTTGGGGCGTGGATATAGAGGCCACTTTTAGGCAATTAGATACAGCATTGGCTTTCCACTTTTAGGCAACAAGCTTAAGCAATACAAATCTGATCAAGGCAAAAGGGCCCATAGTGACCCTGGCTGAATGAAGACAGGCTCATCAGATGACCCACCTCGAAGTATCGATAGGCCCTACCTAGCCAATGGGCTACTTGCAACCAGGCACAGTTACCAAAAAGGGGAAAATCCCATATGTCAATATACTCCCTCACCCTCCTCCCTCAAAAGCAGCCTTCACCCACTGGCCTCCTGGCAGGCAGCCTCTTCTCTGCTGTACCTGCTGGTCCCTTATGGCGTATTCAATAAATTTCTAGCTCCTTTAAAAAAAACAAATAAATAAATTTTCTTTTTTAAATCATGATGTCGAACCCTCTATTTACTATGATGTTCTGAGGTAAAATAAAGTTATCATTTGTCAGATAAATATAACAAATATATTTACCTTCTACACACAAAGCTATAAATAACAGTTATAAACACTAAGTTTAGATTATTCTGGTCCATGTCATATCTTCAACAGTAGATATTCTCCAGAAGACCTGTCCTGTACATCTTTAAATTCCCCATCCTATCTGACACAATGCCTTGTAGATAATCAATAAACATATTGATTTAATGCCTCAATATGTCCAGTTACAGGAACTTATATAGGATAGAAGGAAGAGAGGATAAATGCATGTCTGCTGTGAGAACCAGACACTTTTTAAAAGAATACCTAGTAAGGTGATATAAAGATTATCTTAAGTCTTCAATAAGAAAAGAATGAGGGTGCCTGGGTGGCTCAGTGGGTTAAGCTGCTGCCTTCGGCTCGGGTCATGATCTCAGGGTCTTGGGATCGAGTCCCGCGTCGGGCTCTCTGCTCAGCAGGGAGCCTGCTTCCTCCTCTCTCTCCGCCTGCCTCTCTGTCTACTTGTGATCTCTCTGTCAAATAAATAAATAAAATCTTAAAAAAAAAAAAGAAAAAAAAAGAAAAGAATGGTTTGGGTTTTTTTTTTTTGGAGGGGGGGTGGAGGGGTTGGGTGAGCCTGGTGGTGGGTATTAAGGAGGACACATATTGCATGGAGCACAGGGCCTGGTGCATAAACAATGAATCTTGGAACACTGAAAAAAAAATTAAATTAAATTAAAATTTTAGAAAAGGATGGTTTTGAAGAAGTAGCTTCCAAATATACCTGGCATATTGGGTGTTGAGTAATTTATTTTAAAAATCCCAACTGGGGGGAAACCTAGTTGAATTATTGGATTTAGATGCCCTAATTTGTTCAGGGTAACAACATTAAGTACTTAGAACATGTAAAATCCTTTTGGAAATATTTTAAGCAGCTAATCCCAAGACATTCGTCATTGAAATAAGGTACCTGTGCGTTTAAGACTTAGCTTATAGGGGGCACCTGGGTGGCTCAGTGGGTTAAGCCTCTGCCTTTGGCTCAGGTCATGATCCCAGGGTCCCGGGATCGAATCCCGCATCGGGCTCTCTGCTCAGTGGGGAGCCTGCTTCCCCGCCTCTCTCTGCCTGCCTCTCTGCCTACTTGTGATCTCTGTCAAATAAATGAATAAACTCTTAAAAATATATGGAATATAAAACAGTCTATTTTCTGATCATATCAACACACACACACATACAGATATGTGTGTGATGTCTGATGATCTCAAGATAAAAAAGAGCTCAGTGTGTAAGTCCTCTAGATATGCAATTTGTTGGACTCAACTCTCCAACCAGAGAGCTAAGGCATAAAATTTTCCTTACCAGTTCATGTGCTACGGGAGAGAATTTAGTTTTCCTCTCTAGAACTAAGAACCTGTAGAAAATCAAGCTGACCGAATAATAGCTTCTAAACCTGGACAATGGGGACCCAGGAATTGAATTCAGTGAAGTGGGTGCTATGTGAAATTGCATATACCTGTGCAGTCAAATGCATGTGCGTGCACACACACACACACACACACGAAAGAAAAAAGAGAGCAGAGATAGGTTCATAGCTTTCAGGAAATTCTCAAGGAGTTGATAATCAAAAAAGGCCTTGCCCTCCCAGATTTAGAATTGGACAGATTGTTTTCCAAGCAGGACTCAGCAGTGAGATGATATTCATGTATTTGATACTGTAGCTTTCACCCCTTAATTAGAGAACTTACTCAAAACACTCAAAACACTAGTAGAGTTTTTCTAAATGTCTACTGTATAAATGATACAAATTTCACTGTCCACTAGAAAAATGCAAATTTTGTCAAAGTAAAGGTCTTCATGGCTCGCATCCAAGCTCCTACGACTTTGAAATTTTCAGTGGGGTTGTCAGGAGATGGGACTGGTAGAGATTCAAAAGCTAAAGGGTACTTTTGTGCTTGAGTCAGAAATGTATATTCGTGGCTCAAGCATAGTATAGTTAAAAGTTCTTATGTTCCCTTCCTCAGGAATTGAGAGAATCTGTCTACCATACTGGCCAAATTCCAGCTGGATAATTACACTCCACTTTCTTACTGTGGCTCTATTTTCTGTTTTATTAGAGATTCCTCACTGTCTCACCCAAATATCTATGCAGTTATATGCCCCGCATAGAATATCTGTGGCTTTTCAGTCCCAAGGAAGTCATGCTACAGTGGCCAGTCAATTATTGTGGTTAGTGTAGCTTAAAATTTTTGAAATATCTGGGAGGTTTATGATGTAATATTTAACTGCCTTTAGTATGTCCAGAGACAATAGAGAATAAATATATATTATGAATGCAGATGGTTTGGAAATTTGAAATAACACGCGGATCTTTCAGAGTTCATACAGTCCACGTTGTGAAGGCTCTGTTTGTTTGACCAAACTTCAGTCAGAATTGAGTCCCTGTCAGAGTGCTCCCAGCAGCATGCCTGAGACCTGGCACCTAGCTGACCCTTAGGTGGCACACAGTCGACGTACACTGAAGGAGCAAACGACGGAGGGAAGGAGAGAAGAGGTTTCTTCGTGGCCACATTCTATATTACATTTCTTGGAACATTGAACTCCTTAAAACATCAGTAAGAAATCCAGATCGGCCATCCTCAACCACCATCCAATTTAAGTCTTCAGGATGCCTTGAGGAAAGGTCTAAAGTCAACTTCTCAAGCTTTCAGGGGGAACTCTTTCATGCTTAACTCCCTAGCTTTTGCCAAGACCTTGGTAGCCTCAGCATTTCAGCTCAGCCCAAATAACACTTCCTTTTTCTCCCTCTCTCTCCTTCTCTCTCTCACCTGTTCTCTCTGTCACGGTCCCTCAATCTCTCTCTCTCTTTCTCTCTCTCACACACACACATACACATAATTTATGAATGATTCATTCAAAAACTATGGGGCGCCTGGGTGGCTCAGTCGTTAGGTGTCTGCCTTAGTTCAGCTCGGATCATGGTCCCAGAGTCCTGGGTTTGAGCCCTGCATTGGGCCCCCTGCTCCATTGAGAGCCTGCTTCTCCCTCTCCTACTCCCCTAGCTTGTGTTCCCTTTCTCACTGTGTCTCTCTCTGTCAGATAAATAAAATCTTTAAAAAACAAAACAAAAGAAAAACCTAGTGACACAACTATAAGACTTGCCTCTCTGCTTTTGCTAGATTTGATAGTATTTATTCCCTGCATCATTCATTCGGGCACCATATGCTCTGCCCTATGTGACTGGTGTCCTTTTCACATGTCTAGGTTTTTGCCTCTCCAAATGATGTGAAAACCCTGCTGATTAAAGTGTCTTTGATGCTTAGTAACCCCTACAAGTACCCAGAAACTTATTACCATTAATTGATTATTACTTTCTACCTTAATGAATTTCATGGGGAGAATTTCATGGTGTTTAAGGTATACATTAATTACGTTCAATGCCCTGTCTCTTCCTTTCATTTAATAACTCTTTGTGAGTCAGTTGGTGTAAGCTCAGGACTAGGTCAGAAAAATGAAGAAACGGCTAAGATATCATACCTGCTCTAAAAAGGGATACAGACTTGTGGGGAGAGAGACATAAACAGTTGGATTTAATAAAAAGAAGCGTGATAGATATGCTTTATTGGAGTGGTGTGTCCAGGATACACCAGGACAACCATGTCCTGCAGAGAACATTTGACAATAGCTGGAGACCTTTTGGTTGTCACAACTAGGGAGGGCTACTGGCATCTATCTGGTAAAGTCTGGGAATGCTTCTACATTCCTGGGACCTACACTGCACGGGACACATCCCGCAACAAAGAATAATCCAGCGCCAGATGTCATTAGTGATGAATCACAAAACCCCATGCTAGAGAAAGCATTGTGGAAGCAGAGAGGGAAAAGAAAGTCAGTTGGCAGAATGGGAGCGTATTGTTCCAAAGATGGAGGGGGAGAATATAGGTATGCATTTAAGCTTTCAAATGCAGTGATCGTTTTTGAATAATGTATTAGAAAATGATAGCAATGTTTGTCTCTAGAATACAGAACAGAGGCCCCCAGATGAGAGAGGAGATTTTGTTTCCTCTGTCACTGTGCACTGTTTGGGATTTTTTCTTTTTTTTTTTTTTTTTTTTTTTAAAGATTTTATTTATTTATTTGACAGAGAGATCACAAGCAGGCAGAGAGGCAGGCAGAGAGAGAGGAGGAAGCAGGCTCCCTGCTGAGCAGAGAGCCCGATGCGGGGCTCGATCCCAGGACTCCGAGATCATGACCTGAGCCGAAGGCAGCGGCTTAACCCACTGAGCCACCCAGGCGCCCCGGGATTTTTTCTTTTGTATGTTTTACTTCTTCAATTAAAATTTTTACTTGAAAACGGGGTAAAAACTTTAAAAAATCGCATTCTTAGTAGAATTCGTAAATTCAAAAGAACCTGGGAAACAGTTCAGTACTATTGTGACAGTACTCATTCTTAAATTATGCAA